TGTGCCAGCGAATGCCCGAAATAAGCTTGCCAGGGTCGATGGGACAAAAATACTTCAGGATACGTGGTGTGCCAGCGCATGCCCAAAATAAATCCGCCCACATCTTCCCTAAGGTTTACTGTTGGTGTTGCCATTTCGCAATGTAAGCAGCAAGGAGTTTACTGGGTGGTTGAGGGGGAGAGAGAAGCCGAGAGAAAAGACTCATGAGGCTAGGAACGCATTGAAGGAAACAGCATAGTAAAATAAGAATACAAATTATGAAAATAGCATATTGAAAGAGACTACGAAGCCAAGTAAAGTTAGGCAGCCAAGCAGTAAGCCACTGGGTGAAAGAATCCCAGAGGCCAGAAAATCCAACGTCCTGTTTAATGTGATGTGTAAGATTTTGCAAATGAGAGATTTGGCTTTGAATGGCTCTAGAATTGTCAGTAATATTGAAACAGCACATGTCATTCACTTGTTCACAGCCATAATGATGAAGCATCAGCAAGTAATCTATCGCGGCGCGGTTCTGTAAAAGCCCATGCTGGAGTTCACTTTGCTCTTTATTCAGAAGGTGAAGGGCTTGAGAAGTATAGTTCAGCGCTTTTGCTGCAGAACAAGCTAGAGAATTAATATTTCTACTATTGCGTACAGCCAATCCAGGAACTCCTAAGAGAGAGACAGCTAAGGAGATATATTCAGATCTACTGGGAAGAGAAATTGAATCATCACAATCATTAGTTAATTCAATAGAGCGGCGATGTCGAGAAGGGGTTAAATGATGCTTTTTGGGTAATACAATAGACAAACGACTTAAACAACAGGGTGTTCCATGGCTGATGTTTGCTGGAATGTAATTAAATGTATAGCCAGGACACGACCAGAACCAACCCGCAGGTAGTTCTGTGTATTTGTACAGATAGGAAATATTTACATAATCAGAGCAGTGGAAATTATCAGTGGCCATTTTCACGCAGTTGGCTTTTGTGCAATTCACCATACGGGCGCAAGTGACATTAAAGGAAGCCACGTATGGGGTCGATAAATCAATGGCCAGAGATGGGCGGCGGCGCACTTGGTTACCCCAGACATAATAACCGGAATAACCAAGGGTGCGGAGAGAATCATTCGTGGGTAGGGATGAGAAAAACCAGGTATCATTTTGTATATCAAAAGGGTCATGGCAAACAGGGATAAGGCAGGAGCCAAGAATTTCCCCTATAGATACCTGTTGGGTAAGGCAAAAGGAAGAAATATTGAGTGTCTTTGCAAAAGATTCCCACACATTTGTAGGTGCGTGGGTGTCACTAGTAGGAGTGGAAGCAGAAAGAGGCAGAAACAAAACACTGAGAATGAGCACTATCATGGAATTAATGTTAAGGCAGGAAATAACACACAAGAGTAAATTCTCAGGGGTTGCGTCAAGCTGCTTTTCCTTTCTAAGCTGTTCAGCCTGACATGAGAGTGATTTTATTTGGCCCCATGTCACAGGTCCATTACGATTTCCCCGCTTGCGAGTCCTGGGGGGGCTGGGCTTTGCAGCCTGGGCGATCCGTAGTTTGTGGTCGAACTGCGGTATCGGATTCGGAAGGGACTGTCGCCATGCCATGGTATAGGCGGATGCAGCGTGCGGGAACCCAGCGAGCACCCTGTGGAGTAGAAACTGCAGCGTAACCCTTTCCCCAGGTGATCAGTTTTACAGGTTCACTCCACTCGTTGGAGGGTAATATCTTATAGCGGACCAGTGGGGCTGGGAGTATCTCTGTTTGCTGAAAATGCTTCTGCAGGCGAGTATAAGATTGATGATCCTGTATGGAAACATTCAAATGGTTGAGAGTAAAGAGAACACTGGCCAGCCAGCCCTCCTTTTCGGAAAGTGAGGCTGGGACACCGGCCTTCTTTTCCTGGCGTTTTAAGGCAGTTTTTAAAGTACGATTGGCACGTTCGACGATGGCTTGGCCTTGAGAATTGTAGGGGATGCCAAATAAATGGTGAATATTCCAAGTTTCACAGAACTGAGCAAAGGTTTTTGCACAGTACGCTGGGGCATTGTCAGTTTTCAGGGAATGAGGCTTGCCCATGACTGACATGGTACGAACAAGATGATTGCAAACATGCTTAACTTGTTCTCCCCTTTGAGGGGTGGCCCAAATAAAGCCAGAGAACGTATCAACACAAACATGTATGAACTTCCAAGGTGAAAAAGGGGCGAAGTGAGTTACATCCATTTGCCACAACTGGTTGGATGCCAGCCCACGGGGATTAACACCAGGGCTGGGGTGGCCAATCTGATTAGAGCATTGAGGGCATTGTTGAATAATTGCACGTGCCGCTTCCAATGGGATTTGGAACTGGCGGCTAAGGGCTTTCGAATTTTGATGATGGAAAGCATGACTTTCAATAGGGGAAACAGGCAAAGCTCTAAGCAATGAATCCGCTTTTGCATTGCCCTCAGTGATGAAGCCAGGGAAAGGTTGGTGAGAGCGAATGTGCACCACAAATAGAGGGTGGGAGCGAGTGGAAAGAAGTAATTGTAAGTTTCTTGTGCAGAGATTTATCACATGCAAAATGAACCATGGAAAAAGAAGAAGGGAAGTCATTGATATTTTAAGGATGTAAAAATGAGTATTTTATATTGTAAAACAGAAAATTTAGTAAAAATTATATACAAAAAAGAGAGAAAATGCTCAGTGCAAGAGCACCTCCGCTGGCATCTCTGCCTTTGAGGGTGGCACCAGGATATGGCACTTCCTTTCACCATTGCCTGAAAATGACGGCATGGCCCAGCTCCACATCTGTCCTCCTGAGACTGTCAAGAGCATCCGAAGAGCAGCTGGACCAGGCCCAAGGGGGGCCCCCAACTCCAGCTGCCTGGTCTCCTTCTCACAAGGGCCACCCAGATGCCTCTCAAGCAAGACAGAGCCCAGCAGAAGCCCCCCCCCCCCCGCAACTGGCATTATGGAGAAGCACCATAGGGGACTTCCAGGTGAGGGTATTTATTATGAGATGCAGGTTCCTTGTGCATATCAGGTTTTTGCAGTGCCCACAGGGCATTGCTAGCATAAAAATCCCAGCCCGTATTCTCCCTCACCGCCGCCACCACCGCTGCCACCAGAATGATCTTTTCTGGGGAAATTCTGACAGGATGTTTTTGCTTGCTTGTTTGTTTTACAGAGCCCTGTTGCCAATGACTCACTTGTGAATTTGTGATTGGAAGCCCCTGTCTGGAAGGTCCCACTTTGCCTCTGCTATGGGAGGGGGTTGGACTAGATGACCCTCAGGGTCCCTCCCAACTCTACAATTCTATGATTCTAAGAAGGCCGAAAAAGGCATTTCTTTCTATTGCTGTTTCTCCAATGCTGCCGCCTTCCTCCCTTGGAACTGATCTCTGGCTGCTCCTTCCTATCAATATCCATGAGGGATGATATCTCCCCTGCACACCACTGCCTCCTCTCCATGCGTATTCAAGGGGGCTCTGAGAGGGCATCTCCTTTTGATTTCCACTTGATCCCATTTGACAGAGACTCACAGTTCCTTTGGCATCTGCAGCCGCCTCTGAGGTTTGAGTGTCATCTATCAACATCACAAGCGTGAAGAGATCATCTTGGAAACTTGACCCCACCCTAGGGCTCAGCCATCACTGACTCTTCTTTGCAACACAGATCCAGAGGTGGGGATGGCAGATATGGGAGTCACAGAGAAAAATATTTATTTTGGCCCTGGATGCCTGTGGCGGGGAACCTTGAGAGCTGCTCCCCTGGGCTGAGTCAAGTTTCCTGGATATTTCGGTCTGCCCTGAAACAGATGCTCACAGCAGAAGGGTGGTGGAGAGAGAGCAGGATTGACTATGCTAGCTCTGGCAGAGTGAAGCAAGAGGCAACCTGAGAGGAGCAGGGGCTTTGTGGGCAATGAGTGGGTCAGAACCCTGGACCCCAAGGGGCAGATGGGGCTGGAGTGACCACAGCACACCCCTCCCCTAAAGGCTCCCAGGGATTCAGGGTCTCTCCCCAATTCTGCCCTGCCCCCTGATGCTGCAAGATTCTGATCTCTGACTCTCCGGCTGCAGGGTGGAAAACCCCAAATTCTGCACTTGAAATAAACTGTGCATTTGAAATAAATTGTGCACATTTGCCTGGCCAACAGCAGTTTGGGCAGGTGGTCTGACTGAATGACCTTGGAGTCCATCAGTGCTTCTGAATGCTAGTTGCTGGGCATCTCTGGCAGGGAGAGCCCTCAGGCTCTGCTTTTGGGCATCCTGGAAAGGGCACCTGGCAGACCAAGTGAGACAACACTGTCATAGATCTGGAGTCTGTCAGTGAATGGTAGAAATTAATAAATGGTAGCATTTGGATAATATTTGGGATATGAATGGAAAATATAAGCTGCAGAACTGTGCCAGACAAGAAATTCCAGGGTTATACTGCCTGGTCAGTATAGTTAGGTGCAGAGCCACTGAGAAACAATGGGGAGCCAGATCCTGGGCCACTGAAGGCCACTGGCAATGCAAAACGGTATCCTTCCCCCTGCTCCAAGGAGTGGACAGAGACAGGATATTTGGGAGGTTCCCGAGATGTTGGGGGGGCATGGTGTGACACAGGAAAAATGTGTCCCTTTTAAAACAGAGAAGTTTGGAGAAGGCGAGCAGGTGCATGGCAAAGGTTATTGGGAAGGAGAAAGGAGGTGCCAGGAGTGGAGGCAGAGGTCATGCTGGGCAGAGCCATCTTGGCAGGCTGAGGCACAGAGATGGCATGCAGGTTGCTTTGGACTCTCATGCTGCACTGCTGGGAGGAACAAGTCCCTCTTGAGATGTAATGATGCGAACTCTCTTCCTCCACCTAGACCTAGGTGTATATAGGTGTAAAATAAACCATACATCTTAAAACACTGAGGCTCTCAGGTATTATTCCTAGAGCCTCTGATAAGTCTTCCCTGTTAGCTGCCTAAAGATGTTGCCACCCAAAGACATTGCCTGACTCACCACAAGGAGGAAGGGATAGGCACATGGAAAGACCACTGAAGACTGATCAGTAGAACATCACAGATCATCAGCTGCCATTTCCTTAAGAGAGGCATTAAAGGATTTAAACTGTACTCATTCCAATTGCAGGGCCTCAGAAGAGTCCTGTATTGTTAGTTTTTGTCACTACCTCGCCACGTTGGGAGTGGGTAATTTGTGCGCCTGCTGCCTTCCTTGGATGTGGTAGCCATTCCTCAGGCTCCGTCTCCAGAATCGAACCCCGGTTCCCTGTTACCTGTGGTCACCATGGTGGGCACAGAAAGTACCATTGAAAGTTGATAGAGCAGACATTTAAATGCGCCGCCACTGTCAAGGGGGCATGTGATGGGACCGAGGTTATCTAGAGTCATCAAAGCGGCCGGGCGAGCCAGGGTTGGTTTTGGTCTGATAAATGCACATATCCCAGGAGGTCAGCTCTCATTGGCATGTATTAGCTCTAGAATTACCACAGTTATCCAAGGAATGGTAGGAGCAACCAAAGAAACCATAATTGATTTAATGAGCCATTCGCAGTTTCACCGTAATGCCCATGTGTACTTAGACATGCATGGCTTAATCTTTGAGACAAGCATATGCTACTGGCAGGATCAACAAGGTAGCTGCAAGCAACTGACAAGTGGGTCATCATTGTGGTCAGTGTTGCTGGGCTGTGCCCTGGGGCTGGCCCCGGGGCCAGGACCCTGCAGGCAGGTGAGCCAGTGAGCACGGAGCTGCCCTGGCTCCCCACACGGGGAGGGGCCATGGAGGCCCGTGACACGCTAGACGGGAGGCTACCTCTGCCATGGAGGCAGCACGCAGCCAGGGGAGCAAGAGAAGGATGCACCCACGGAGATGGGTGGGCGCCAGGAGGACGCGGACGCTGAGGGGACAGCAGGCGCTGAGCAGCCATGCGATTGTCGCCGGCTCGGTGGGCCCCTGGACCCCACCCTGACGTCGGGTGGTGGCGGGCGCGGGGAGCTGTCGGCACGGCTCGGCTGCACACGGATGGAGCGAGACGTGGTGACGCCTCGGGGCAGGCGTAGCGCCCGGAACGGGTTACTAAGGAGGGCAACGGAACACCGGACGGCTGCAGGGACGGGGAGGCATCTGCTCCACTTGAACACCAGTTGGCAGGCCGGCCCGCGGAGGGCCCTCCCCAACGTGACTGTCAGGCCATTTGGCGAGTGACCAAACGCGGGGTCCATCCTACCACAGGGCAGTCCCCACCCTCACTCTCGTGAGTCCCTGGAAAACACTGCCATGGCCAAGGGAGCACAGGGGCCACTCAAGGGTTCTCGGGTCCCAGAGCCAGGGTTGCAGCCTGCCACCAGCTGCTCCCCCACCTCGCTGCTCCTCTCCTGGCAGAGAACCGAAGGCCGGTGGGATCGGACGAGGCTGCTCGCCGCTTCTCAAAGGGAACCGTGTTGGACACTGCACCTGCCCCACACTGTGGATCCACACTCACCGGGAGTGCAGTTGAGTTGTTTGCTGTTCTTCTGAGGATTCTGAAAGCCCTGTTACCAGAAATCTCCACGTGCATGCCGACCTGACCTCATGACAGTGTGTTGGCGCTTGGCCGCCAGCGTCCTGGTATAGCAGCGTCTCGGAAGTCATAGCTGTCAACGTTTCCCTTTTTTAAAGGGAAATTCCTTTATTCCGAATAGGATTCCTCGCAAGAAAAGGGGAAAGTTGACAGCTATGCGGAAGTCAATGCTGGCAGCCAGCAGCAACTTCTCTCCAGCAGGAGGCTTCACAAATCACCGGCTGTGCCGTTCAACCCATGCGATTGGGTGGTGATAGATCATTCCTGGCACCCATCCTCCGGTTAGGAGTATGTGAACCAGAGGACCGTTGCAGGGAACCAAGGGCCTCAACGGCCACCCAGTGTACCTGCTGGCCGGCCGGGAAGCAACTGTTAGGATATAGTTCTGTTCCACCTTAAAAGGAGCAGGCATGACTGGTGTGTCACATGCTTGTTTACTTCCAGCTCTCGCTGGGAACTTCCTTTTGTATATAGTTTTTGTGTTCTGCTGTTTTGCTGGACATGAAGGAAAGCAGACATGTTTTCCTTTGTTCCTGAACTATGCTGAATAAAATGCTGTACATTATGCTTACATATTTCTCTGTCCGCCTCTTCTGCTGCAAAGAGTTCTTATCTCTGCTGGTTTGCATGCTTAGAGTCTCTAAAGGTATCTGAGGCTTGAATCGCAGTTTTGAGAACCAGAGTATCGCCCGGCTGCTGGCCGGTGGCTGGAGCCAGCTGGGGGCCTGCCAATTGCCCCCGACTCCTGGCAGCATCCCAACAGGAATCACGTTGCGTGAGTCGGCCTGGTCTACCTGCAGGGTTCCATGCCCCGGAACAACTCCCGGTCCACCCGCGGACAAAAAAGGGGGGTGGGCAGCCCGGTCTAGAAATATAGAGGGGCAGGACGTGCTGCAGGCCGCAAGCGGGAAGCCTGTGTCTCACCCTTTACACAGGCCCTGGCTCTGCAGGTCTACCCGGACCGAGGCCCACCCATGACGGCTGGGGACGTCTTAGCGCAAGGAACGCCTCTGCCGGCTGCCCACCCGCACACGCAGGACTGGAGGGTGGAGGGATGGACGCAACCGGTGTCCGCTGGCTCGCCAGCCAGCCAGACAAAAGCTTGTGTTGAGGGATGACTTTCAATAGATTGCAGCGAGGGAGCTGCTCTGCTACGTATGAAACAGGTTGTCTATGAATGATTTAGCACTGGGTTCCCCACGAATATGTGGTGTGCCAAGGGCGAGAGGTAGCCCCCTTCCAGAGCCACCCTCCCTGAGAGGGGGCGCAGGGAGGGGATCCATTGGCCCAAGCCAGCCGGCCCAGCCAGGTTGAATCCTCCAGGCAGACTGCGCAGACCCCACCCATTTACCTCTCAATGGTTACACGCCCTCTTGAACTCTCCAAAGTTCTTTCCAACTTTCCCTTACGGTACTTGTTGACTATCGGTCTTGTGCCCGTATTTAGCCTTAGATGGAGTTTACCACCTGCTTTGGGCTGCATTCCCAAGCAACCCGACTCCAAGAAGACCCGGTCCTGGCACGCCGGTGGCCTCTACCGGCCTCACACCATCCACGGGCTGTGCCTTGATTAGAAGGACTTAGGCCCCCCCATCGGAGCAGCACCGGGGAGTGGGTCTTCTGTATGCCACATTTCCTGCACCTCACCATGCATAGAGAGACGGAGCAGCGTGCACCGGGCTGGCCACCCGCGGGGGTGGGGCTAGCATCCCAGGCGGCAGGGCTAATGTCACGGGGGGGGCAAGGCGAGCCTCCTGGGGGTGCGGGGATGCACAGCCGCCCACCGTGAGCCTCCTGGGGGGTGCAGGGGGTGCAGCTGGCCACAGCGTGCCCCCCGGGGGGTGCTGTACCCAACGCGAGTGCAGCAATGTCACCCTCCGGGATGGCAACTGGGGTGAGCCGCACCCACCTCACCTACCTTACTCAGCCCTCTGCCACCGTGGGGCGGGGATTCGATTCTGGGCTCTTCCATGTTCACTCGCAGTTACTGAGGGAATCCTGGTTAGTTTCTTTTTCTCCCCTGACTAATATGCTTAAATTCAGCGGGTCGCCACGTCTGATCTGAGGTCACGGTTGGATGGAACAGGGTGGGGGGATGAAGGGAGCTGATGGGCGGATGGCAGCCGCACCAATGGGAGAGATGGCGCACTCTCGAACGTACGCCATACTGAACCAACGAATGAACGAATGACCCCACTGCCCCCTGATTGCTGCGCACTGACCCCTCTCGCTCTCCAGGCTTCAGAGAAAGCAACGCCTCCAACACTTATTATCACCCGATAATAAGCAACGCCTCCAACACTTATTATCACCCAATTTTTTCATTTTTGCCAACCTATCTGATGACATATACCATCTATGATGCATCTGTTAGGATATTTCCGTTCCACCTTAAAAAGGGAGCAGGCTGTTGCGTGTCACAAGCCTGCGTACTTCCTGCTCACAGGAAGTTTCTGTTTTGTATATAGCTTTTGTTTCACTCTGTTGCCTTGACTTGAAGCCAGGCAGTCATGTTTTTCCTTTGTTCTGACCAACGTTGAATAAATCTGTAGAATATGCTCTCCTGGGTGAATCTTTCATTGTGGAAACTCTGCAAAAAGGGCGTGCATGAGTCCTGGAATGTGGACAGCTATTTCCGAGGCTCGTGTCACTAATTGACTGATACTGTTTCCATGGGAGACCGGGAGACAACGTGGAGGCATGATGGCCTATGTCTCCCTGGCAGTATCCCAACAACAGGTTTCGGGCCCAGATTTACGGCACTTACAGGAGAGTAAGACTGCTGAAGACTGTGAGAGGTATGTGGGGAAAAGCAAGACTTTTCTGTTGCCGCGGCAGAGTCTTTGAAGTCCAGCAGGCAAATTAGCCTGGCAGACGAGCCAGAAGGCCTCATGATTTATGAGTTGCCAAGATAAGGAGTTTTTGAAGTGAAAAAGGCTCACGGCTCAAGTAAAACCTGGAATGGAGCTTTTACAAGCCTCAGATGGGGTTCCAAAGCTAAACGGCCACAATTATGAGACCTGGGCAAAGTGGTGTGAGGGCCTGTTGCGACAGCTTGGAGTCTGGCATACAGTGTGTGAAGCCCCTCCAGTTCCTCTGACAGATAGATAGAGGGCCGAGGATTCAAGGGCCATAGACATGATTGTCTTGTCCGTCTCTCTGGAGGAAATTGTAACACTGGCTGGCAACACGACAGCAGGTCAGATGTGGAATGCTTTGAAAATAGCCCATCTGGCAGCCTTCCCAGCACAGAGTTTGACTGCGTCGGAGGTCCTGACTGTTTCCCTGATTGAGAGTGATTGCACGGATGCCGAGGGCACCGGTTGCAAACTGCAGGGGGAGCTGAATGTGATGTCATCAAAGGCAGCATTCCAGCCTCCAGGGGGAGCCAAGGAGTCGGCAGCTGAGAGTTCTTGTTTCCCATGAGAGCCAAGGTCGTCTTTGCAGAGGCCGGAAGGCGAGATGTAAACAAAAGAAGAAGCCGGCAGATGGCCAGAAGCAGGAGGCGGGTGGAAAGCCCACGCCAGGGGAAAACAAGGTTTTGTTTGCTGGCACTGCTTCACCAAAGGCAAATTTGATGGCCAGGAGCAGGGGGGCAAGCAGCAGCCCAAGCCGATGGAAAACAAGGTTTTGTTTGCTGGCTCTGCTTCTCCAAAAGCCAAAGGAAAATTTGTCATCGATTCTGGAGCCACAAGGCACATGTGTGCAAAGTGGCACCTGTTTATCTCCTTCACGCCTCAAGATGGGGAGATTCAACAGGCTGATGGAAAGACGTTGCGAATCGCAGGAGTCGGGACAGTGAGACTGGCAAGTCTGCACACGACCATTAGTGACGTACTTTATGTTCCAGATTCTGCAGACAATTTGCTCAGCGTCCCACAGCTGACTGGGCGTGGCTTTGAGATTTCCTTCAAGAAGAGCGTCTGTGTCATCAGGAAAGGCAAAGAGGACATTTTGCATGCAAAGTTTATAGATGGCTTGTTCTGTATAACTTATGATGAGAATGGTATTGATGTGTCTAATGTTGAATCTTGTTGTGTTGCACAAACTAACAAAGTTCTTCATGCAGGATGTATTCACGAGGAGCACCAAAAATGTGGTCACATGTCTTGGCATGCACTGGCCAAGATGCCTGGGTTGGTTCAGGGTTTGAACATCAAGCCCTGTAAGTTTCACATGAAATGTGTATCTTGTGCAGAGAACAAGGTGAAGGTTGCTCAAAAAGGCAAGGTGTCTAGCAGTCAGGCTTCCAAACCCTACCAGCTAGTCCATGCAGACCTGGTTGGTCCACTTGCGCCCTCTGGGTGGAGCAAGGTACCGTATTTTTCGCTCTATAGGGCACACCGGACCATAGGGCGCACCTAGTTTTTTTTTGGGGGGGGGGGAATAAAGAAGAAAAAAATATTTTCCTCCCCAGCCCCAAAGAGCAAAGAAGCCAAGACAGCCAGCGGGATCCATCCCGTTGGCTGTCTTGGCTTCCTCTTTAGCCGTGGGGCAACCTCGCCTTCACTCCCGGAGCTTGCTGCTATCCGCAAGACTTCTGAGCCCGGCGGGAACTCCCACCGGGCTCCGAAGGCTTGCGGTGTGGCTATAAATCTGCCGTCCAGTCGTGCTCCCGTTGCTCAACATCTGCTGGGGCGACCTGGGCAGAAAATGCAGAGTCGCAGCAGTCCTGCTGTCCATGTGAGATAGAGGGGTAAATCAAGTCCAGAGACAGTTCTTTGCTATCTCTAAAGTGTTTATTTACAGCAGTAAATCATCTGTACACCATCGGAACTTTCCGGCATCTTTCCTGTGCTGAAAGGACACACAGACTGTCTGCAGCGTCTCTCTGCCTAAAACTGAAACCAACTCACAGACAAAGACTGTGATGCATGGCCTTGCGTAAAGGCCCCTCCCCAGATACAGGACACCAAGGAGTTTAACCCTATAACCACCAAACTCCACACCCCCTCTTGCCCTGCATCTGGGGGAAACAAGCAACAATGCTCACCCAAAACACAGACCTTCACAAACTCCTCATGCCTCTGGAAGGTTAACGGTTTCATGAAACCATCAGCGAGGTTCTTGGTTGAGGGACAGTATTTCAGCGCAACTAACCCCTCACGAACACTCTGACACACATTCTGAAAACGTATGTCTAGATGTTTGGTCCTGGCCTTGAATTGCCCCGTCTCGGCCAGTTTGAGACATGGTTGATTGTCTTCGTGAACAACGATGGGCAGACAATTCTCTCCACAGAGCTCTTGGACCAAACACGCATAGAACTCCAGCTCTCTGCAAACCTCAGATAGCGCGCTGAACTCTGCTTCAGTAGACGAAAGCGCTATGAGACTTTGCTTTCGGGACTTCTACCCAACTACTGAGTTCCCAAACTTCACCACTAGGCCTGACACTGATTTGCGATCCTGAAGGTTAGCCCAATCTGAATCCACCCACGCGGTCAGCTTGACGTCACCCTCAGCTGACAACTTGAGGCAAAAGTCTTTGGTATCCTGGAGATACCTCAACACTCTCTTGATGCCATTCCAGGCCTGTACACTTGGACTTGAAGCCTCTCTGCTGAGCTGGTCTGCTCCACTGGGACAGATACAGCAAACTACCCAGAGCTGACTGAAAGAGTTCAGTATTTCCGAACACAGCGTGTTCTACTTGCTGACATTCTTTCACGTAACCAGCCTCCATGGGTGTTCTGACACCTACACACACAGACATCCTAAACTTCTCAAGCAACTGCTCAATCTTACCTTTCTGGCTGAGCAAAAAGCTTCCATCTCTTGTTCTGGTTATCCCTACGCCTAGATACGACCTGACATCTCCAAGTTGCTTGAGCTTGAACCGCTTTCCAAGCTCATTTGCAAACTTCTCTACCTATTTACCTGTCTGTGCAAGGAATAAGATACCATCAACAAAGATCTGGTCAGTTTCCTGTGTCTCACCTGACCCTTTAAGGTAAAGACAGCTGTCAGCAACACGTCTCCTGAAACCTAGCTCTTCTTCTTCATTTTTTATATAAATATTTATTAAAGTTTTCACAATATTACAAAATAAAAAAGAAAAAATACAAGATAAAAAATAGTTAAAAACAATTCCATCTTTTCATCACTTATCTTTCATTTACTTGTTTCCCGGACCTCCTCATACCTCCCTTTTTTGTATTCCAGGTCAATTTATTAGTTCAGCAATTCCTTTCCCTCCTTATTTTATCCTGATCTTTAATCTTAATATATTATAGCATTAAATTTTTACCTGTTAAGAATCCAATTTTTCATATTCTTTTAGACCATTACAGCTAGAAACCGCTTAACTTCAATCCAACATCATTCTAACATTCATTAATTTTGCAGTATTTCTGTAAATAGTCTTTAAATTTCTTCCAATCTTCTTCCACCGACTCTTCTCCCTGGTCTCGGATTCTGCCAGTCATTTCCGCAAATTCCATGTAGTCCATCATTTTCATCTGCCATTCTTCCAGAGTGGGTAGGTCTTGTGTCTTCCAATACTTTGCAATAAGTATTCTTGCTGCTGTTGTAGCATACATAAAGAAAGTTCTGTCCTTCTTTAACACCGATTGGCCGACTATGCCCAGGAGAAAGGCCTCTGGTTTCTTCAAGAAGGTATATTTAAATACCTTTTTAAATTCATTATAAATCATCTCCCAGAAAGCCTTAATCCTTGGGCACGTCCACCATAGGTGAAAGAATGTACCTTCAGTTTCCTTACATTTCCAACATTTATTATCGGGCAAATGGTAGATTTTTGCAAGCTTGACTGGGGTCATGTACCACCTGTATATCATTTTCATAATATTCTCTCTTAAGGCATTGCATGCCGTAAACTTCATACCTGTGGTCCATAACTGTTCCCAGTCAGCCATCATTATATTATGTCCAACATCTTGTGCCCATTTAATCATAGCAGATTTCACCGTTTCATCCTGAGTATTATATTTCAACAGCAAGTTATACATCTTTGACAAATTTTTAGTTTTGGGTTCTAACAATTCTGTTTCTAATTTTGATTTTTCCACCTGGAAGCCGATTTTCTTGTCCAAATTGTATGCCTCCATTATCTGATAATAATGAAGCCAGTCTCACACTTTATTTTTTAGTTTTTCAAAACTCTGCAACTTCAGTCT